CTCTGCTGCCATGTGCCACTTTCAGGTCTCCTCACACTGCTGGTGTGTTTAATTTTTTGACATAGGGTGCAGGCAGATTACGGGCCTCACATAGCTGCTGCCAGGCCCCTAATCTGCCATGGGCCCCTATATACCGCCCTCCTCATGCTGCTGCCAGGTCCAGAGTCTCTCTCATGGGTCCCTGTACGGCCTCCCATTGCTGCTGTCTCCATCACACACTGCTGCCATGTGCCACTTTCAGGTCTCTCTTCACACACTGCTGGTGTGTTTAAATTTTTTTTGACATAGGGTGCAGGCAGATTACGGGGCCTCACATAGCTGCTGCCAGGCCCCTAATCTGCCATGGGCCCCTATATACCGCCTCCTCCTGCTGCTGCTGCCAAGTCCAGAGTCTCTCATGGGTCCCTGTACGCCCTCCCATTGCTGCTGTCTCCATCTCCATCGCCACACTCTGCCATGTGCCACTTTCAGGTCTCTTCACACTGCTGGTGTGTTAAATTTTTTGACATAGGGTGCAGGCAGATTAACGGGCCTCACATAGCTGCTGCCAGGCCCCTAATCTGCCATGGGCCCCTATATACCGCCTCCTCATGCTGCTGCCCAGTCCAGAGTCTCTCATGGGTCCCTGTACGGCCTCCCATTGCTGCTGTCTCCATCGCCACACTCTGCTGCCATGTGCCACTTTCAGGTCTCTTCACACTGCTGGTGTGTTAAATTTTTTGACATAGGGTGCAGGCAGATTACGGGCTCTCACATAGCTGCTGCCAGGCCCCTAATCTGCCATGGGCCCCTATATACCGCCTCCTCTCTCATGCTGCTGCCAAGTCCAGAGTCTCTCATGGGTCCCTGTACGGCCTCCCATTGCTGCTGTCTCATCCATGCCGCCACACTCTGCTGCCATGTGCCACTTTCAGGTCTCTCTTCACACTGCTGGTGTGTGTTATTTAAATTTTTGACATAGGGTGCTTGGGCAGATAACGGGCCTCACATAGCTGCTGCCAGGCCCCTAATCTGCCATGGGCCCCTATATACCGCCCTCCTCATGCTGCTGCCAAGTCCAGAGTCTCTCATGGGTCCCTGTACGGCCTCCCATTGCTGCTGTCTCCATCGCCCACACTCTGCTGCCATGTGCCACTTTCAGGTCTCTTCACACTGCTGGTGTGTTAAATTTTTTGACATAGGGTGTGCTGGCAGATAACCGGGGCCTCACATAGCTGCTGCCAGCCAGGCCCCTAATCTGCCATGGGCCCCTATATACCGCCTCCTCATGCTGCTGCCCCAAGTCCAGAGTCTCTCTCATGGGTCCCTGTACGGCCTCCCATTGCTGCTGTCTCCATCGCCACACTCTGCCATGTGCCACTTTCAGGTCTCCTCACACTGCTGGTGTGTGTGTTAATTTTTTTGACATAGGGTGCTGGCAGATTAGGGGCCTCCCATAGCTGCTGCCAGGCCCCTAATCTGCCATGGGCCCCTATATACCGCCTCTCCTCATGCTGCTGCTGCAAGTCCAGAGTCTCTCATGGGTCCCTGTACGGCCTCCCATTGCTGCTGTCTCCATCGCCACACTCTGCTGCCATGTGCCACTTTCAGGTCAGGTCTCTCACACTGCTGGTGTGTTAAATTTTTTGACATAGGGTGCTGGCAGATTAACGGGCCTCACATAGCTGCTGCCAGGCCCCTAATCTGCCATGGGCCCCTATATACCGCCTCCTCATGCTGCTGCCAAGTCCAGAGTCTCTCATGGGTCCCTGTACGGCCTCCCATTGCTGCTGTCTCCATCGCCACACTCTGCTGCCATGTGCCACTTTCAGGTCTCTTCACACTGCTGGTGTGTTTAATTTTTTGACATAGGGGGTGCAGGCAGATTACGGGCCTCACATAGCTGCTGCCAGGCCCCCTAATCTGCCATGGGCCCCTATATATACCGCCCTCCTCATCATGCTGCTGCCAAGTCCAGAGTCTCTCATGGGTCCCTGTACGGCCTCCCATTGCTGCTGTCTGTCTCTCCATCGCCACACTCTGCTGCCATGTGCCACTTTCAGGTCTCTTCACACTGCTGGTGTGTTTGAATTTTTTTGACATAGGGTGCTGGCAATTTACGGGCCTCACATAGCTGCTGCCAGGCCCCCTAATCTGCCATGGGCCCCTATATACCGCCTCCTCATGCTGCTGCCAAGTCCAGAGTCTCTCTCATGGGTCCCTGTACGGCCTCCCATTGCTGCTGTCTCCATCGCCACACTCTGCTGCCATGTGCCACTTTCAGGTCTCTTCACACTGCTGGTGTGTTAAATTTTTTGACATAGGGTGCAGGCAGATTACGGGCCTCCACATAGCTGCTGCCAGGCCCCTAATCTGCCATGGGCCCCTATATACCGCCTCCTCATGCTGCTGCTGCCAAGTCCAGAGTCTCTCATGGGTCCCTGTACGGCCTCCCATTGCTGCTGTCTCCATCGCCACACTCTGCTGCCATGTGCCACTTTCAGGTCTCTCTTCACACTGCTGGTGTGTTTAAATTTTTTTGACATAGGGTGCTGCAGATTACGGGCCTCACATAGCTGCTGCCAGGCCAGGCCCCTAATCTGCCATGGGCCCCTATATACCGCCTCCTCATGCTGCTGCCAAGTCCTAGAGTCTCTCATGGGTCCCTGTACGGCCTCCCATTGCTGCTGTCTCCATCGCCACACACTCTGCCATGTGCCACTTTCAGGTCTCCTCACACTGCTGGTGTGTTTAATTTTTTGACATAGGGTGCTGCAAGATTACGGGCCTCACATAGCTGCTGCCAGGCCCCCTAATCTGCCATGGGCCCCTATATACCGCCTCCTCATGCTGCTGCCAAGTCCAGAGTCTCTCATGGGTCCCTGTACGGCCTCCCATTGCTGCTGTCTCCATCGCCACACACTCTGCTGCCATGTGCCACTTTCAGGTCTCTCACACTGCTGTGTGTGTTGAATTTTTTGACATAGGGTGCTGGCAGATTACGGGCCTCCCATAGCTGCTGCCAGGCCCCTAATCTGCCATGGGCCCCTATATATACCGCCTCCTCATGCATGCTGCTGCCAAGTCCAGAGTCTCTCATGGGTCCCTGTACGGCCTCCCCCATTGCTGCTGTCTCCATCGCCGCCACACTCTCTGCCATGTGCCACTTTCAGGTCTCCCTCACACTGCTGTGTGTGTTTAATTTTTTTGACATAGGGTGCAGGCAGATTACGGGCCTCCCATAGCTGCTGCCAGGCCCCTAATCTGCCATGGGCCCCTATATACCGCCTCCTCATGCTGCTGCCAAGGTCCAGAGTCTCTCATGGGTCCCTGTACGGCCTCCCATTGCTGCTGTCTCCATCGCCACACTCTGCTGCCATGTGCCACTTTCAGGTCTCCTCACACTGCTGGTGTGTTAAATTTTTTGACATAGGGTGCTGGCAGATTTACGGGCCTCCCATAGCTGCTGCCAGGCCCCTAATCTGCCATGGGCCCCTATATATACCGCCTCCTCATGCTGCTGCTAGCCAAGTCCAGAGTCTCTCATGGGTCCCTGTGTACGGCCTCCCATTGCTGCTGTCTCCATCGCCACACTCTGCTGCCATGTGCCACTTTCAGGTCTCCTCACACTGCTGGTGTGTTGAATTTTTTTTGACATAGGGTGCTGGCAGATTACGGGCCTCCCATTGCTGCTGCCAGGCCCATGTAATCTGCCCATGGCCCCCCCGTACCGCCTCCTCATGCTGCTGCTAAGCAACAAGTGTAATTCATGGGTACATATGTTACGACCAGCCATTTACTGCAGCTCCAAGGCCCACTCTGCCTATGTGCCACAGATTTCCTGCCAAAAAAGCGGATAAAGGTCTGCCCATTGCTTCACACTGCTCCCTGTGTAACTTAGATGTTTTTGCCATTGTCAGCTCATGTGTGACACCTGCGCTTGCTGATGTTAAAAGCGGAAGTCCACTCTCCTGTGGAGATGTCAGCCATTGTCAGGCCAGGCCCTTTGGCCCTTTGAGGAGGCCACGCTATTCGTGAGTCGGCAGGACTATGGGATGAAATGAGGTCAAATCGGCCATGGGCCCCCGTACCGCCTGTTCACATGCTGATGCTGGTCCCACAGTGTGACCTGGGTCCCTGTACGGCCTCCATTGCTTCCACTCTGCCATGTACCTCTTTGAAATCTCCTCACACTCCTGCGGTTGTCCATTTTTTGTCATAGGTTGCTGGCAGATTAGCGGGCCTCCCATAGGTGCCGCCAGGCCCCATATCGGCCATGGGCCCCCGTATACCGCCTGGTCACGCTGCTGCTGGCCCCACAGTGTGACCTGGGTCCCTGTACGGCCTCCCATTGCTGCTGCCAGGAGGGCAGCAGGGTCGCACTGTGTCAGTGGAGGCAAACGGCCACGGAGTAGAGCAGCAGCTCCACTGCAGGCTACCACCACAGCCAGTAGTGGTGCCATAGGTGTGCACGGAGGAAGTAGCAGTCAGCCAGTGAGGAGTAGCGGGTGCAAAGTTTCCTACTCGGCGGTGTGGCAAGTTTTCAAGCCGCCCGAGGAAGTAAACTGTAGTAGCCTAATGTCGACTATGTGGCCAGAAAGTCAAGCGTGGCCAGGGGGCCCATGTTGGGACTACAGCGTTGCGTCAGCATATGCAGCGTTCGCCATTCGGTGGGCCTGTGAAAAACGTGATAAAGATACGGCGGTTCTGCCTGCCCCTAGCCCAGGGTTCCATTTTGTCATAGGGTGCTGGCAGATTAGCGGCCTTCCATAGGTTACGCCAGGCCCCAATCGGCCATGGGCCCCCGTACCTCCTGGTCACGCTGCTGCTGGTCCCACAGTGTGACCTGGGTCCCTGTACGGCCTCCCATTGCTTCCACTCTGCCATGTGCCACTTTGAGGTCTCCTTACACTCCTGCGGTTTTCCATTTTGTCATAGGTTGCTGGCAGATTAGCGGCCTTCCATAGGTGCCGCCAGGCCCCATATCGGCCATGGGCCCCCGTACCTCCTGGTCACGCTGCTGCTGGTCCCACAGTGTGACCTGGGTCCCTGTACGGCCTCCCATTGCTTCCACTCTGCCATGTGCCACTTTGAGGTCTCCTTACACTCCTGCGGTTTTCCATTTTTTTGTCATAGGTTGCTGGCAGATTAGCGGCCTTCCATAGGTGCCGCCAGGCCCCATATCGACCATGGGCCCCCGTACCTCCTGGTCACGCTGCTGCTGAGCCCACAGTGTGACCTGGGTCCCTGTACGGCCTCCCATTGCTTCCACTCTGCCATGTGCCACTTTGAAATCTCCTCACACTCCTGCGGTTGTCCATTTTTTTGTCATAGGTTGCTGGCAGATTACAGGCCTTCCATTGGTGCCGCCAGGCCCCCATATCGGCCATGGGCCCCCCGTACCGCCTGGTCACGCTGCTGCTTGGTCCCACAGTGTGACCTGGGTCCCTGTACGGCCTCCCATTGCTTTCCACTCTGCCATGTGCCCACTTTGAATTCTCCTCACACTCCTGCGGTTGTCCATTTTGTCATAGGTTGCTGGCAGATTAGCGGCCTCCCATAGGTGCCGCCAGGCCCCATATCGGCCATGGGCCCCCGTACCGCCTGGTCACGCTGCTGCTGGGCCCACAGTGTGACCTGGGTCCCTGTACGGCCTCCCATTGCTTCCACTCTGCCATGTGCCACTTTGAAATCTCTTCACACTCCTGCGGTTGTCCATTTTGTCATAGGTTGCTGGCAGATTAGCGGCCTCCCATAGGTGCCGCCAGGCCCCATATCGGCCATGGGCCCCCGTACCTCCTGGTCACGCTGCTGCTGAGCCCACAGTGTGACCTGGGTCCCTGTACGTCCTCCCATTGCTTCCACTCTGCCATGTGCCACTTTGAAATCTCCTCACACTCCTGCGGTTGTCCATTTTGTCATAGGTTGCTGGCAGATTACAGGCCTTCCATAGGTGCCACCAAGCCCCATATCGGCCATGGGCCCCCGTACCGCCTGGTCACGCTGCTGCTGGGCCCACAGTGTGACCTGGGTCCCTGTACCGCCTCCCATTGCTCCCACTCTGCCATGTGCCACTTTCAGGTCTCCTCACGCTCCTGCTGGTTTCCATTTTGTCATAGGTTGCTGTATGGCCTCCCATTGCTGCTGCCTCCACCGCCACACTGTGGCTCCAAACACTGGTTTTGGCCCCGTGACTGGCCAAAGGAGTGAAGTGTGCAGTGATTCTAAGATCGACGGCACTCATCTGCATGTCATACTGACAGACAGTATTATTTCTCTTCCCCAGCAGACTCCAAGGGCATTTCAATTAAAGGTACAGTGTTCTGCACTAATATTAAGTCTCTCTGAAGCCTAGAAACACCCTTTTTTAAGTTAAATTCACAGCGAATTTATTCGACTCGAATCGAATATTGTCCACGAATTCGCCGAATCAGTCGAATCGAATTTTTCATTTCTTCGCTCATCTCTAGTTATTACCTATAAATGTTAGTATCCAGTTATATTTTGTGTATTTAGGAATGCATCCAGCTCTTTTTAAAACAATCTACTGAGCTATTTGAGGGAGTCTATTCCACATTTTCACAGCTCTTACTGTCTTAAGTCTTTCCGTATGTTGAGGTTAAATTTATTTTCCAAAAGACATAAATAGTGAGCCCTTGTCCGCTGTAATGGCCTTACACATGCATGCAGCTATGTATCAAGGAAGGAGAGGGCAGCATGATTGCAGCTCCCCCTTTCTCTACCATACCAGGCCATTTTGCCTGCAAACATTGGAGGGGTACCCTGTAAAGGAGGAGGAAGAAGCCAATAAGCTGTGTGAAGCATTATGAATTTGTGAGATGGGGGAAAACAGCTCTCATTGTTTTGAACACTGTTTGTGTGGAAGTAAATTAATGTTTTGACTGACATTCGGCGGTTTAGCCACAAGATGTCACTGTTCTTCTAACACAGCCTCAGACTGCATAGATATTTGTATATTCATGAAGAGGTGGGGTTTTGCACACAGTTGGAGAGAACTGGAAGGAGAGAGAGAAGCCATGTTTTGGTGCATGGTGAATAAGGGGCCGTGTGAGCTGAGAATCTGATGATATCTAGGTGTGAAAGCGTCCCTCAGTAACCAGAGATTGCTGCCAGGAATGCTGATGAGATTGCTGCCAGGAAGCTGATGAGATTGCTGCCAGGAAGCTGATGAGATTGCTGCCAGGAATGCTGATGAGATTGCTGCCAGGAAGGCTGATAAGAGCAGAACTAAGCAACATATACGGCAAGACTGCATGCTTGTTGGAGAGACATTTGTTCTGTTCAGAGTCACCAGTGGATGCAAAGCAGACCCGGTAAGATCGTGGACGCACTCATTTCAGTGTTGGCGCCTTGAGACTGAGTCCAGGCCTATAGTTAGTTAGTTAGGGTCTCTGTTTGTGTCAGGCCACAAGTGTTGTTACTGATCATTGGAAGAACTCCACAACTTAAAGTGACATTTCATATTGGAGAGCTGATAAAATCCTACAAACTCAAGCCAGACTGGCGTTTTGCTCAGAAGAAATACTCAGGCACGTGCTACAGGACCAGTTATGGGAGGGGGAATACTGTAGATTTGTGTAAGATTGTAAGCTGTTGTGCTGCACCGCAGGCTAGCCCATACCATACACCCATACACTGATTCCTGCTCTTTTAGGGTAATAACAGGTAAGGTGTGGCAGCTTAGTTGTGCCCGCCAGTAGGTAAATTACTACACCTTCTACCTTCATCCCATCAGAAGGCGCCGTGCTGTGCAGCACATTGTCTCAGCCTTTGGGCTGGGTGTATGTAAATTTATTGTATGTTTCCAGCATTTGTGGTTGTGCTTATTTGCCACATCTAAGTAAAATTCTGTTGTGACAAAAGCTGGTGTTGGGGTTGCTTTCCTCGTTCGTGACTTCACTGTATCCTGGGGAGCCCACCCCGGTACACGGCTTACAAATTCACAAAAATAGGAACATCAAATAGGCACAGGCATTTATGTGATTATGTCATCTATGGCCAGCACCTTAGTTCAGAAAGTAGACGTTAACACTGATTTATGAGTAATAGCAATGGTCTTCTGGTAGATGAGTACAATGAGGACATCAGTTGTCAGATGGAGTACTGTAATATCTTCAAGAAGTAAACATTTTCTTTTTTAAAGATAATACATATTAGGAAAAAATGTCCAATGTCTCCCCTTTTGGGTCTTTCTAAAACAGCACATCAGCTAAACACTGACGAGTATACAGAATGTGGTGACATCAATATAGCTAGGTCGTCTCCAAAGCCCATAGGTCCTGTAGCTATAGTGGTACCAGCAGACATGCATGCAGCACAAAGCTGGTGTTTGACCAGATACTAAATTGGACCTTGGACAGACACATACTGGGGAATTCAGTAAACCTATAACCAGGGGCGGACTGACAACTCATGGGGCCCCCGGGCAATAGGGGGATCATAGGGCCCCTGTGTCCTTGCCCAAACTCAAAAAAGCCTATGAAAAAGGTACCAGGGGCATCTCATGGGGCCCCCTACTGACCCCGGGCCCTCGGGCAGTGCCCGAGTTTCCAAATGGTCAGTCCACCCCTGCCTATAACAACACTTTTCTGGCAGTAGGTCCCTTTAAAACTATCTACTCTTAATTCAGCCAAGCCTTTGTGCCAGTTTCAGTTGCAGTCACAGGGCTTGTAGTTGCTAGAATGCTGGCAGCTGCAGTCTTTCTCTCATCGATGGCTAATCTCCTGCCAGCCAGGAGATTCCACGGCCTTAAGCTGAATATAACCAAGGAGTTGGGGATGATGGAAGACATCGTTACCCAAATATACAAATGCCCATAGTTGGACAATGACAAGTCGTAAGGGAAGCAGACTTGATGGGGAATTAGTCTCAGAGTTCCCCATAAGGCTCCATCCAAACCTTGGGGAGGAAGCTCAGTACTGTTGAGTTGTACTTTGGATGGAATGTGGACAGTAAGGTCTAAGTGCCACCATGTCCCAATACAGAGGAATGTACCTGTTTCTGACACACACCAACAAATATGGTGTAGAGGTGGAAAGAAATTCTAAAGAATATCTATGAATTCCCCCCCATAAAGCACTGAAATATATTTAACTGTATGTGATATCTGGAACATTACAAACAGAACAGGCTGGATGAATCATTGACTTAAATTAATTTAATATGTGCTAGAGCTAGAGCTTCCCAATATATGGTTCAAAAATCTTTCCTAATAATAGACAAATAAATGATTGGTGGACTATGGGGAAGATTTACTAAAACTAGAGTGTCTGTTGCAGAATCTGGTGCAGCTGTGCACAGAAACCAATCAGCTTCCAGGTTTTATTGTCAAAGCTGAATTGAACAAGCTGAAGATAGATTCTGATGGGCTACCATGCACAGATGCACCAGATTTTTAATGTTCCAGTTTTACTAACTCTCTCCCTATGAGTACAGAGTTTTTCAAGATGTAATGAGGAAAACAATTTCAAGATGGACAACCATGCAATAAGAACAATATTTTTTGTCTGACTTACCTTCCAAGGTCGGCTCTTCCCCTTTAGTGACATTGAACACTATACAAAAAGAGGCTGTGAGAAGGAAAACACTGGGTTAATCTCCAGCTTACTATATCTATATGTGGTAAATTTGCTGCCTACTATTCATCTTTTTTTTTCTGAAGTTTAGGTATGAAGTAGTTCAGACTTTTATAAGTACGCATGTACTATACCTGTGGGAATCTCTATGGAAGCTGGAAATCACTGCAGTAAGCACCGCTATTTCATTGATCTCCACTAAGGCGAGGTTCACATCTATGCAGGTTGTGGTCGACAAGTTTTCCAATGCGTTTTGTGTTTTTGAGACCCTTAACCACTTGCCGACCGGCCGTTGTATATAAACGGGCCGGACGGTGGCACTGCAGGGTCGGGTGGCCGTCAATAAACGGCCCTCCCCGCACCCTGCTTGTGCGCGCTCCCTGGGAGCGCGCAGCAGCACCGCGATCCGGTGCCCGCTGTGTCCTCCGGACACAGTGAAACACCGATCGCCGGACGGGACCTCTGTACGAGGTCCCGATCATGTGATCACTGATTGGCCAATCAGTGATCACATGCAAAGTAGTAAGCAAGATGTCACTTGTGACATCATTGCTTACTACGTGTGAAATCTGTGAATGATCACAGAGGTCACATGGTACAAGGCTATTCACAAAAGCCTTGTACCATGTGACAGGATGTGACCAATCACAGCTCACTCAGTTCTTCTCAATGAGTGCATGAATGCACACAGAGAGAAAGAGAAATGATTGCTTTTACATCCTATATGGGTGTAAAAGCAATCAGTGTAAAAAAAAAAAAAAAATCTTCATCACCCCTCACAAGTAGTACAGTGTCACCATGGTGACACTGTACTGCTAGGGTGACAGTATGTAAAAAATAAAAATAAAAATAAAAAATAATAATATAAAAAAATAAAATAAAAATGTAAAAAAAAAAATGTTTAAAAATTATAATTTTTGCTTATAAACTAATTTGGATTTTTTTTTTTTTTACTAAAAAGATAACGGAATAAATTTTGGCTAAGATTTATGATGAAATATTATTTATTTGCAAAATTTTATAAAAAAAAACACTTTTTTTTCAAAATTTTTGGACATTTCATTTACATAGCAAACAAAATACAAATCCCAGTGGTGAATAAATACCACCAAAATAAAGCTTTATCTATCTCAAAAAAATGGTAAAAAATGCATTTGGGTACAGTGTTGCATGACCGCGCAATTGTCATTCAAAGTGTGATAGCGCTAAAAGCTGAAAATTCCCTGGTCAGGAAGGGGGTAAAAGTGTCCGGTCTGGAAGTGGTTAACAGCCCTAGCTTTTAACCCTAACCCTAATATTTAACCCCAGCCCTAATCCTTACCCTAACATTTAAACTGAACCCCAACAATAAACCCTAGCCCTTAACCCTAAACCTAACATTTAACCCCAACCTAGCCTTTCACCCTAACATTAAACCCTAACCCCAGCCCTTAACCCTAACCTAACATTAAACCCCAACCTAGCCCTTCACCCTAACATTAAACCCTAACCCCAGCCCTTAACCCTAACGCTAACATTTAATCCCAACCCAAGCCCTTCACCCTAACATTAAACCCCTACCCTAACATTAACATTTAAACCTAACCCCAACAATAAACCCTGGCCCTTAACC